TTCATTATTCTTTACATTACATTCTCTTGTTTATCGAAGGAAATTATATTGAACCTATATTGTATTGTTTGTATTGTTAAATATCATATTGAATTCTCGAATATTGTAAATAGTATGTATTGTAAAAGAATTCTCAACTGTTTCATAAAAGTAAGTTTCAATTGCTAAATTTTTTCACGTATATGTATATACATATATGTATATATATACTAAAATGATAAAAATATGAAACAGAAAACGATAAATATTGCATTCATAAAATTACTTATTATATTCTTAAAAATTTCTTCTACATGGTACAAAAATTGATTCTGTGATGCATGATTTTTAAACCGAAAGCAATGTACGATTTTAAATAAACAGAAATCTATGTTTACTCTCGAATTTTTATTTATTATTCAAATATGATTCTGTATCAATTAAATTACTGAATCTAATATAATGAATATTTTTTAAACGTGCAACCGTATGAAACGAAGCAAATTTTTCGGTTGAAATGAAATCGGAATAGAAATTTGGATACATCACAGTTGAAGTTGTTACGAGACAGTTATCCAACGGATTAGGGTATTTATTGTCTGAAATGAAATTTTAGTAATTAAGAACTGTTTATCTTACCATAATTAAAATGTATTTCAAATCGTTGGTGGCGCTGATAACTAATAATAAGCAACATATATACATACGCGTACCACTCTCATGGTTTCATATTCCAAGCACAATATAGTCGTCGGGGAATCCTCGTGTTCAAAGTTTGCGTGCTTCTTCTGTGTAAAATATATTTGTAAAATATTCTTTTTCATTTTGAGCAATGAATGTTCTCAAACCAGACTTAATTTGGGTGGAAGATCGATGTTACAGATTTTTAGGAAAAGGAGATTCAAACGAGTACGTTTCTCCTTATATGGAGGATAATAACCTTGACATTGAAGACGAGGAGGAATTTAATGATAGTGACATTGAAATTACACCGTATCAATCAAGAAAATATAAACATACTTTCCACGTAGCAAAGTAAAAATAATTTTACATGTTTTATCCTACAAAATATTAACATGCCAATCTTAACGTAGCTACAATATTTTAGATCATTTTTCCCATTTATAATTGGATCTAAACATTCGGTACGTAAGAGATTAGAGATTGAAACTAGAACAACTATACAAATCCCAAAAATGGGTCAGGACGGTGATGTTGGTAAATATGTTTTTGATATTTTGTGGTTATTCAATTATAATCTACAATCCCCATTAAATTACTTGTGGGATAGGACTTTATTTTTTATAGTATGTATTGTGTAATTGTCGGTTTATAGTGATAATCGGATGCGATCGTAAAGGAATAGTAACAGCTCGTCGTAGAATAGATTTATTGATAGCAGTAACAAGGAAGAGGCAGCACTCTACGCATTTCTTGTCTATACCTTTAAACGAAGGTCATATAATAATGAAATTTAATATGTTCAAGAACAGTGTGCTCACAAACTTGGGAAAAGTGTCTAAAGGTATAGACGAAAGAATTTTTCAGACACCCAGTAAACTGCATCTTACCATTGGGATATTAAAATTATTCGACGACGTAGAAAGGGAACAAGCTATTAAAGCCCTTGATTACTGTAAAGAACATATCATAAAGTATGTAAAACGCATTAATATTAGGAACAATTTCGATTATTATATAACTTAAAAAAATTGTTTCATAATAATGATTTTCATGAAACAAACATAGACCTGCAATTAAAAAATATGGTCAGATTCCTATATGCTTACAAGGAATTGAAATAATGAATGATGATCCCACTGAAACACGGATTCTATACGCAAAAGTAATAGACGCGAACAACGCTTTGCAAGAAATATGCGACAAAATGGTCAATTATTACGCTAACATAGGTAAAAAAGAATACATGTTACTTTTTTTTACCACAAAATATTGATAAATATTTTATAACAATAATCGCGTTGTTCAGGTCTATTGGAACAGGAAAGAGAAAATGTTAAATTGCACGTAACTCTTATGAATTCAAAATTTAAGCTAATTGATAAAGAAGACACGGGAGAAAATGAAACTATTAAAACATTTGATGTGTCGGATATACTAAAAGTAAATATAACTTATTTATTCGAGTTGTGAGGAATAGAAATATTGTTTTAAAATATATTCATTTTTAGGCTCATGAAAATACTTCTTTTGGGGAAACTGTATTAAAACAGATTCATATATCACAACGCCATACAATTAGCAGTAATGGATATTATCAAGCAACAGCAAAGCTTAATTTAACTGAGAACCTCTGAATAGTATGTATACCCATAGTTATTTCCAAACACTGTAGTATTGGGGAATTCGTTTATACAATATTCTATAGAACTAATTGCAAGATATAGATGTTTCAACCTCTATCCATTGTAAAAATAAATATAATTGTTACAGAATATATATTATTATATATTTGTTGGATTCGCGTAACTGCTTTTTTTCTAACTCTTTCTAGTACTATAATTTCTTTGCTATAATAAAGTACTATAATTAAATTATTTTAGGCTCACGTAACGCAAACAAAGTATACACGGTACATATTCTATTCCTCCTAACAATATTTAAATCTGTGGTTGTCGGTAACGTCGAACACAGAGTGCCGGAATGGAATGTACAGAAATGCGTTACACGAGATTGGTTTGTCATTCGCTCGCCTGTGATTTAATCTTACATTTAACCGGAATACAAATTAAATATAGATTTTACCGTAAGTATAACTGATCAAAGAGGTAGCGGTCGATAATGATTTAACAAGTCCTCAAGCTATTAATGGATGTAACATCTATTGCTCCCTGTTCTACCTAACACATCCATCATACAAATTAAAAACTGGAACTGTTGCGTTTAGCCGTAGGGAAGCATCCTAACAAGCATGATGGCTAAAGAAAGCGTAGCATTAAGAAAAGAAGAGATTGTGTCTTTATGGAAGAGAAACACACCTATAACGGATATTATACAAATAACGAAATACTCGCGTACAACCGTATGGAGATGTATACAGCGGTATCAAACCTTAGGTGAGAAAGGAATTCTGGATATGAATGCAGACCCCGTGCAACCACCGCCGAAGAGGATCGTACTATAGTCAAGGAAATAGAAAGCAATCGTTTTCAGAATGCGTGCAATGTACTCGCAAATTTGGAATTGTCAGTATGCGACCGTACAATGCGGAATCGTTTAAGAGAAGCTGGCTTTCACTGTCGTCAGCTTGGAAGTAAGGTATTGTTGCGACAACGTCGTCACGAGGCGCGTGTTGGCTTCACATTGGAGCAGCTACCTACGACACAGTCTGAATGGGATTGTACTATTTTCACGGACGAAAAAGTATTTGCTTCGTCGACGGACTGCTCGTTCCATGTCTGGAAACCTGAATAGAATGAAGAATGTGTAACCCCGCACAGTGACAATGGTAGTGTCACGTGTGCTTTATGGGGCTGGATATCTGCACACGGGCCTGGTGAACTAGTGGAAGTATCACCTTGTATGGGTTCTTCCGAATACATTGATCTTTTAGATAATGTTCTTGTGCCCAGTGTTAGAAAGATGTATTCCAAGGAGGATTTGCCAGTGATAAGACTAGTTTAAGACAATAATGCTGTGCACACTTCTGCTCCGGTATGCCAATGGTTTGCAAAACATCCTGAGATACATGTTTTGCAATGGCAATGGTTTGCAAAACATCCTGAGATACATGTTTTGCAATAGGAAATGTATGGGCACGGATTGTTATCAACTTGCCATCTAAAAATTCTATAAAGTCGCGGAATGCGCTTGTAGATCATGTAATGCGCGAATGGGATGATTTAAGGGCAGATCCGGAATACTTTCAGGATTTAAGTAAATCTATTAAGAAACGTTTAGATCAACTGATTGGTAGAAACGATGGTTCATGGATGAAATATCAATGCCATTAGACACATTTCTGTAACAGATGAAAATTGTCTTAACGCGATCTCAATAAGGTTAGAATGCATTAGAATTAGATTTTGAAAATGATTTATTATTATTATTCGTAATATTTTATTGGAACTATTTTTGTTCCTTTTTACAAAATTTCCCATTCAAAGCAAACACAATTGATGATAAAATGTGATAAAACATTGAAATCCTATTTCCTTCATGATTCTTTTATTTCCTTTCATTTCTTATTTGCATCAAGTATT